CCAGAAGAGCACCGAGCTTCTCATCAGAAAATTACCATTCCAACGACTTGTTCGTGAGATCGCTCAAGATTTCAAGACCGACCTTCGTTTCCAAAGTTCTGCTGTCATGGCTCTTCAAGAAGCCAGCGAGGCCTACCTTGTTGGTCTCTTCGAAGACACCAATCTGTGCGCCATACACGCTAAGAGAGTAACCATCATGCCTAAAGATATTCAACTGGCCCGCAGAATCCGTGGAGAGAGAGCTTAAGTTACTCTGTTCTTTTAACTCGTAAAAAAACCGGCCCTTTTCAGGGCCACTAATTGTTTTTATCGGAGAAACAAACCACAATTCGCTATTCTACTATTAAACTTCCCGACGTACCAAACTCGATTAACGATGGTTTATCAGAAAATGTTAAAATTCTCTAGTTTTTGTCATAAATTTGATTATTATATTTGATACACAGTTTTATGTACCGTAATAATGACAAAAATTATGTTTTTAAAATTATATTCCACTCTTTAACTGAGGGAAACGTTTTTATTCTACAGTCGTGATCAATTTTATTTTTAATATTTTCTTGTTTATTAAACAATTTTTGAAATTTATTCCGTTACAGTGTATGCGTTGGTATAGACCAGCGATTCTCAACTATTCTGTTTGCGTATCATCGAACCAATATGTGACAAAGATACTCACTACTTCGTAGACACATTTTCAGTTAAAAAATGTTTCACAAATACAACGTGTTATTCTCTTAACTTTGGAATGTGGGTAAAGAACAAGTACAAATAAAAAGGATTCTACATTTTCGAAATAAATATATTGAGAGCCAATTCATTTCTCTTTTTAATGTCAACCGAAAATTAGACTCAAGGTTTAGTTTCGAAAATTTTACATATACCCTTAATAATTTGAGAATATTCAACGTTCCACATACGGTGCACGTTCTATGGACTGAGAACCGCTGTCATTCTGCACATTGTAGGCTGTATTCCATTATATTCTTGCAACAAAATTTTTAACATATCAATTCTAATCATATTGTTATATTATATGTTCGTAAATTTTCAACTAAAAAATTATCGTTTGTAATATTCACATGTATTTTTTCCAAAAAATCGTTAACATATTAAAGACACTGAATTGTAAGTAAAAATCAAAATATTTCTGCGTGTGTAATGTTCCGGCATGTCAGAGATCTGAAAATGCGCAAAGTATTAGTAAAGAGCACTTCGATTTGTTATATCGCGCAACAATGCTGTTTTACAATGTCCAATCAACGACGCTAAAACAACATGTCTACCACATCGTATGAGAGCAACGGTCTCGCGTGATTCATTCGCTCGTTTCGATATCTTTCAACAGTTTGTTCACATTCATTCGCTATTTGGAATATCTATTTACACCGTTATGTGTCAAAATAATGGTAGGAAAATGATGTAGGAACAATATCAACATTGACGAACCCAGACATTTTCGTGACCTGATATGGTCATCCATCTTTATGAATCTAGAATCGAACACCGCGATCGTCAGCGATGCAGACTCGACCAATATTTTAAAATATCGCCAATTGGAAACCAGTTTCTTTAAATAATGCATATCTTGTACTTTAACATGATACGATCGCGAAGATTAATGCAACTTCTTAAACCAGAAATCGTACGACGACAAATACATGTCGTAATCGGCTTGTCGATGTTCCTCCGCATTTCGCAAATTTAGATTTATTTCGAGAATTTTCATGCTGCCATCGAGACCATCACTTTAATCAAAACATATTATTATTTTTAAATATCACAGAGACATATTAATCGCCATACAAACAATATTAAATACCGCGGTTCGACGACAGGAGTGAGGTTATGACTTCCGTGGCTCGGGATTGATTCCATTTCGAATTATCAATCACCCCTCTCTTTACAATATTAATTATTACCATACGCGTGTAGTTATACTATGTCCCAATCAAAAACACAACGTTATTTTTATTGTATAGAATCCCATTACAAAATATCGAAGAGTCATTGGTGTCCATTCCGTGGGTAGATAGAAATTCCGGCAGCACCAATTTTAATCTTCTCCTATTGTAGAAACCAAGAAACGATTATCAAAAAACTGTGTACAATATGAAGCGACGGTCCTATTGGAATCGTTTTTGTTAGATAAACAGGAGCAAGTTACGAATAAATCGACAATTTTTGTTATTTTTCCACAACGTGTCCCGATCCCGCCAAAAGACACTTGCCGGCATATCGTCGCGTCCACGCAACCCAATGGGTTTCATCGGTCGGCGAACCACTCGAAATAATACTAGATACACGTGGCCGTTCGACCACGGTGACGTTTCGTCCTCATGTACGCCCAGGGAGCAGAAATTCTAGCTAAAATCGAATGATCATTTACCACTTCACCGTTTTTCAAGAAACTTGCCGCTCAACATATTCGTGAAGACTCTCTCCATGGTCCGCGCTTGCGACCATGTACCGTGGTTTCAGTCAGCGTGCTTATATTTCAAACTTACCCCTGCAGAGGATCGGCGCAACGGTTATCCATTCGTTTGAAGTTATTTGCAAAACAACGCAAAAAAGTTGTGTTGTGCGTACGATTCGATTCGGAAGAGAAAAACCATTTTCACCAGGAGTTACTAGCAGTAGAGGGAAAATGGAGGATAAAGGAAATGCTGGAAACACCTCTGTGGAGTCTGGGAGCGGGAACGCCAGCCCAGCAAAGACGCGGAAATCGAAATCAGCGAAAGCATCGAGGAGCAAGTCCTCTCATCCACCAACGTCCGAGATGGTGATGGCTGCCATTAAGGAGTTGAAAGATCGCAAAGGATCCTCTCTTCAAGCGATCAAAAAGTATATCGCGTCGACGTACCCAGTGAACGGAGAGAAGTTGGCGCCTTTCATCAAGCGATATTTGAAGTCCGCTGTCACATCTGGCGCTGTGGTGCAGACCAAGGGTAAAGGTGCCTCCGGTTCGTTTAAACTGTCCATGACGAAGGGTACCGAGTCGAAGAGCAAG